GTGTTGCAAGTTGTTATATCTAACTTACTCCGTAGCTCTTCTAGGTGGGTACTTGGAGTCTGTTATCCTGGTGGCTGTGCGAACACATTAAACATTGAGATCTCCTAGATGATGTATGCCACAGGAAGGTGATAAATATGCAATATAAGTGATAAATATATATAAGACACAATATGCAATGTGCCCTTGTGGCAAAGGTGGCCAACAGCATTCTGGGCTGTGTTAGAAAAAGCTTCAGCAGCAGGGATGTGGTGCTTCCCCTCTACTCAGATGTGGCATCACCAGCACTGCAGAACTGTCTCCAGTTCTGTGCTTTCCACTACTATACTGGATCAAGTCCAATGAAAAGCTGGCAACATGATTAAGAGACAGGAACATCTGTTACACAAGGAGAGGTTGAAAGCTGGGACTGTTAGCCTAGAGAAAGTTCAGGGGGTGTTATCAATGTGTAGGAACACCTGATGAGGTGAGTAAAGGCAACAGAGGCAGACTCTTCTCAGTGGTGTCCAGTGACAGGACACGAAGCAATGGGCACAAGTTGAAATACAGGAAATTGTTTAACCATCAAGAAAGCACTTTCTCCCTGTGAAGGTGATCAAACACTGGAAGAAGTTATTCAAAAGCCCAGCTAGACATGGTCCTGAGCAACCTGCTCTAGCTGACCCTGTTTTGAGCAGGTGGGTTGGTCTAGACTATCTCCAGAGGCATCTTCCAGCCTCTGCCACTCCATGGTTCTAAACTGCTCCTGGGAGCACAGGCAAGAATTCCCAGAGGAATTACAGTTCCAAAAATACACTTTGGAACTGACCACTAGCTCTACTGTAAAGGTATTTGTCGTAGTTTAACCCCAGCCAGCAACTAAGCACCACGCAGCCACTCACTCACTCCCCCCCCATCCAGTGGGATGGGGGAGAAAATCAGGAAAAGAAGCAAAACTCCTGGGTTGAGATAAGAACGATTCAATAGAACAGAAAAGAAGAAACTAACAATGATAATGATAACACTAATAAAATGACAACAGTAGTAATAAAAGGATTGAAATGTACAAATGATGCGCAGGGCAATTGCTCACCACCCACCGACCGACACCCAGCCAGTCCCTGAGCAGCGAATCCCTGCCCTCCCACTTCCCAGTTCCTAAACGAGACGGGACATCACATGGTATGGAATACACTGTTGGCCAGTTTGGGTCAGGTACCCTGGCTGGGCATGAGAAGCTGAAAAATCCTTGACTATAGTCTAAACACTACTGAGCAACAACTGAAAACATCAGTGTTATCAACACTCTTCACATACTGAACTCAAAACATAGCACCATACCAGCTACTAGGAAGACAGTTAACTATATCCCAGCTGAAACCAGGACAGTATTAGAAATACTACCTACGTTAATCAGCTGCTAAACAACAGAAAGCATTGCTGAAATGAACCTCTAATATCGGGCTTCCAAAACATGAAAGTGATTATAGTCAGACAGCTGCTCTGGTACAGATTTTTCAAACCACACTGCACAGCACCATCTTCTGGTGACCAGAAGTTGGATTGTTTCATTTTTTTCCTTGCTGGTTTTGAGAAAAAGGCTCTAACCATAGCAAAGATAATTTTCATACAAGAAATAGTAATGTTAAGTTCAAAAATAATCAATCTAAAATAAACAACATCTATAAAACAGAGAAGTAACCAAAATTTTTTTATTAACCCCTGTTATCCCTAGAAACACAAAAGTGAAAAAATTACGCTTTAAAATGTCTTACCCTCTTCAAGAGGACCAGGCATCAACTTTGTTCTGATTTCTGCAAGTAAAGAAAAATACATATTGCTCATGTAATAAACAATGAAGTCTCAAAAGTAGATATCACAACACAATGTTCTTCTGAGCTTGTATGTGGACAAGGTGCAGATCTGCCTTCTGGAAAAGCCTTTGGATGAGCTTTAGAATATGGGAAGTAAGAACTTTTGAGCTTGCTCTGGCATGAGCCCAAAGACATACCCGTGAAAAATACAAGTGTGCCAAGTAGACCACGAACACATCATTGCTCAAACTGAATCTCCATGAGCAGGCTGCACAAAGACATGCAGGCTAGAATTTATACTTAGAAAATAAGCCACTCTGAAGTACTCTGCTTATTACTAGCTTGCTACACTGACAAATAATATCACCATACTTCCTTTTCATTTGTCAAATTTTCCAACAACAAGAAACCAGTCAATAGTCTGATGCAAGTTACTTGATTATGCAGTCGCTGTTCAGTTAACTCTGCTTCCTTGCACAACTGACTCAAATCCTAAGAGTCAGACTTAGTAGCTCGTAGTTTTCCAGGTTTGCATACGTGCATTTTTAACTAGACTATGCAAACAGAACAAAGGAATGAATACCTGAAATAGGAAAATTCTAGACAAACCCATGAGGAAAGCTTAGGAACAAAGGAAAGGCTCTGCTTCCTCTGCCATGTAAAATGCAGTTTCTCACAACGGTATACATGAAAGCTTTTCTTCCAATGTAGCAGCACTAGTATAACCAAAGTAACATTAAGTATATCTAAGCTGCTTTTTTTTTTAAATACAACCAACACCTTTAGCACATAAAAGAATCCACATACCTCTTTGTTTTGAAATTAACTGCTCCATGTGGAGCGTTAGATACCCCATAGCGCTGTACCTGCGCTACAGCAACACACTCTGGGGTTTTACTGCGCTGCAGGAGGCCTTCTGCAAATTCAGAGGTAAATTCCTCCGGATTTACCAGCCCGGCACTGTTTTCAAGGCAAGGCAGCACAGGCAGAACACCAGCCGGGCACCGCCACCTCAACTTGGTTTCAGCAAGGGCAGGGCGAGGCCGCGGTGCCAGCAGCTGCGCGGGCTCACCTGGAGCACCACGCGGCCTGAGGAGAGCGGGGCCTGCGGGCGCCCAGGCACGAGCCGGGG